TTTTTATTTCACGGGTTAAATGCCTCTACTCTACCATTCAAATATTCACTTTATGTAGAATCAATACTGAAAATATTAAGTTACGTGGTATAGGCACTGTAAGATTTAGACCATAAGGCATCTTGGGCTATTGATTCGTAGACCATCAGGGCGAGAGGGCTAATTGCTTTAATCTCAACCTACTAATAGGTCGAACAAATGGATTATAAAAACTAGGAACACGCGAGTTAGCTGCCATCGTTTTGGTTTTCAAAACTGACACCTTTCGTTAGTATTTAGGAACAAAGGTAGCTCAGTTGGTTAGTGCGCGGCCTTCAGAGCTAGAGGTCCATAGTTCAATCCTCAGGATCTCCACGTCTTTTTCGACTTCTCTCTGTTCTGTGTAGCTTTAGCTCTAAATACCCGTATTGCCCTATAGGTTGCTATCAATAGACGTCACTTCCGGTAATAGCTCTCTTTTGATGACTTGTAGAATCCTGGAGGTTGTTTTGATCAATCGTTTTCTGGTTTGATGTCGTGAAAATAGTCAAATACAATAGTTTGAGGACTTTTTTTTATATGTTTTGACTTAACATCCGCTAGTTGCCCCTCAGTCAACCGCTTGTTTGCCCCCCAGTCAACTCCAAAAAATCACGTGATTGATAGTAAGCAATTTCACTATGACGTCACTGCTTGTTTATGTGGAGGATAGAAAATAGAAAATTCAACAAAATTTGCTCCTAGTGAAACATTTTAATCTAAAATGGCCTTGTTTTCAGATATAATATGTGTTAATATGCACTAAAAAAAATTCTGAGCGTTTGCTGGCTATTCTACTTCTCTTCGTGGATTGATGACGGGTTTTAGAACAATTTTCGGTGAATTTGCGTTGATTTGACACCCTCCGACAACCATGATCCTTTGCGTTTAAACAATAAATTGTTTTGTTGTGACGTCATAGTAAAATAGGGCAATAAGGAGCATGCGCACTGATAGTCTGATGGGGTTAAGGATGCACCTTCAAGCGCTTTATAAATGAGCCCCTGCTTCGGGAAAATTGGGCAACCACTCCTCGTGTTATCGAAGTATGATCTACATTTTACCTTTACCTTTAGTAGTCTATCACTAATAGAGCACTAGTAGCTCAGCCAATTAGAGCGCAGGATTTATGATAGACCAACAAATCCTGTCATGAATGAAAAAGATACCAAAAATCTTTAAAGAACTTCTTTTCGTTTTGGACGTCACTTTGAAAGCTCTATATACACTGATATACAAGTGACTCAATCAGATTAATCGTTGTATTCAATTCTACAGCGCACCAATACTAGGGTACCCCTCCCCGCGTGGGGCGTGTTTATCGCAATCATGTTGACCATGGCGTCGATATTCTTCATCCCTGCCGTCGCGTTTCTCAAATACTACGGCTTCATCGGGCTTACCAACACCGAACTACCATCCGTCGTTCTTTCTCGTAAAACCCAATCAGCTGAGCTCCAACCGCTCTACCGCGAGACCCCTAAGAGCAAACGTAGAAAGAAGGAACCGAAAAAAGCCAAAACGCTGTCAAGAAACGCTTCTTACATGAGCAACCATAGACCGAAAGAACGAAACGAACATTCCACGCCCGTGGCAAATGGAAGGGTGCCTACTATTAGGACGGAGAATGGAGAGGCGTGTCACGTGATCAACAATCATAATAATGGCAGTATTGGATTCGTATGACCCTCGGAGGAGAACGTCAAATATTTAGTGCTAAAAATATTTAAAAAATTCTAATGAAAAATCGATATTTTGAATCCGTCATTGAGGTGACATTTGTGAGAATGAGATAAAAGAAAGACTGTTATTAGTCTACGAGAAGTAAGTATATCGAGATTTCCAATTGGTCCATGACGTCAGTGTCTAAACCTTTTGATGTCTGTCATATGACGTCAGAACAAAAGAGAGTATGATTGGTCTACGTACAAACATTCTTCGATTAGGAAATATGATCCATGA